AAGATAAGATAGTCAACTGGGATCAGGAGAACTCGAACCAAGAAGAAATCTTCACGCAAGATACAAATTAGGGGTCGGAAGATAGCTTCCTTGTGATGAATACTCAACCGAGCCGATCGTTGATAGACCTGTTAAATAGTGTCACCAGCTATGAAGCTCCAGATCCAGGATGAATTCGTGTCACGGAAATTGCTGAGAGCGATATCGAAAGCGATGATTTGGTTAATCCAAATGCAGTCACTTCTTCTTCGCCGTCGGATGATGAATGGTATCTCGACCGCGAAGCAGTTGAAGATTCAGCACCGCAGTCAAAGAGACGCGAAACAAACAAAAAACTCTAAGGTTTTGTGTTTGATTTAAGTTGAATACAAAATTCAATGTTGTAAGTTAGTGTACAAAATTATACTTAATTTCCACGTTTTTTCACAGTTAGGTAATGGCGGGCTTTTTAAATCCACTTTTGGTTTTGTGTTACTATTTTATCTGGAGTGGTTTTGAGACTTTTCATATAGGAATTGACCCCAAACTGTTTTTGGTGCATTTAAACGACACCTATTTTAGATGATTGTGTGTATAATTCAACCATTTCATTTCATATCTGTTTTCACCAAGACCATCGTGTTTGCAGAAACATTGAAAGAACCAATTCGCAAAGACCTTCAACAGCAAAACGCATTGAATAGTTTTAGTTCAATTGGATTACAACATAGCTTGCCGAGCTATAGGTGGCGGAAAAAAACAATATATCGCCAGAACGATTTTGTGTAAACCAACACAATTTTCACATGAGGAACATTATCTATAAAAATTATATATTGGGATCATTAGGGATCAATAATTTTACATAGGGATCACTAGCTATAAAAATTAAACATAGGGATGATTAGAAATAATTTTTTTACATAGGGATCATTGGGTATAAATATTTTACACAGGGATCATTAGGTATAAAAATTTACATAGGATCCCAGTGTCGTATATCTTTACTACTCTCAATCACCAGTGCTTGTAGCACATCGAAGCCAATCAGGATTCAACTGCCCTAGAATTTATCTGCAGTTCGTATTTCAGAAGTTAAAAAAAGAGTTTAATTTTTTTTATTATTGCCAAATCTTCTCCAAGTTTTAAGTACGAAGCGTTTTTTAACTTTTAAGAAGTTTTCTAGACCGATTGAGTTGCCTTATTTCATCTTAAAAAGTTACTGTCCTAATAGCAGATGGCAAGTTTTTTATTATATCCAAAGCCATCAACAACAGGAGTACTTTGAAAGTTGTTTGAAAACATTAGTTTTTGAAAATCATTTCTAATTTTTGTTTGATAGGTTGTTTTAATCGTAAAACAAGCGTTTTTTAACCTAAAAAACAGATCGAAAAAAGACCAAAAAATAACCTCTTTAATTTGATGAAACAATTGACTTATAACTTTTTTGAGAAGGTCACTTAAAAAAGTACATCACAATTTTCCCATCTGAGAATGACTTAAGTTTTCTTAAATGCATTTCAAAAAGAACTAGAATTCCTCATTTTTCATTTGTTTTTGCTCAAAAGAAATAGATGGTTTTTTGCTTCCTGTCATTTTTTTTCTCAGAAACTTTTTGGAACAAGATTCGCCAGATTTCATGTATTTGAAAATGCTCCGAAACAATATGATCAGTTTGATAAAAATGATAATTCGATACAATTTTTTAACTAAGTGGGAGTAACTTTCAACAAAAACTTATTTTGGAAAATGTTTCATTCGAGTTTTAAAAAAATACTTATGACCAATTATCATATTTTGAAACTAGCAGAAGACCCCCCGAAACTTATTATGCACTTTGTTTTATAATTGCTTTTCAAATAAATAATTCAACTCAGCTTACCGAAAATACTCTTTAATGAAAAATCAAACTCTAAGCAACAAACAAGTGCATGCACAAAAATAAAGCATGGTCTGATTGTTCTTGAAGTGAAGATCAGTACTGTTGTACAATAGTTACTGTAGAAAAACAGTTCTGTTTTTCAGTAATGCGCCCGCATCAATTGATTTCTGATCAGAAAAAATTTAGCAATAAAAAAACATGATTTCAGAGATAAATCAACGCTGTAATAGTACTTAAGCAGTAGTGTAACAGAACTGCAACAGTACTCAAAAAGTCACTAGAAAAACAGCAATAAAAACAGCAAAAAAAGCTTTGAAAATTTGCAAACACAGCGCTGAAAGATTTAGTTCAAAACAAACAAAAAATGACATTTGATCATAAAATTCACGAAGTTTGCAGATCAATTTGAGTTAGCAGAATCACTGTTATTAACCGTTTTTGCTGCTTTCGCTGGTGTGCAATGTTTTTGACTGCCTCCTGCTCTTGATCAAAATGTTTGCTCAAAAACAGAAAACAATTCATTACAACAAAAAAAAAACAACAAAATTTTTGAGACTATCCAACCAATTTGAACTCTCGAAAACAAAGATAGTTCAGACATATGTTTTTTGAAAAATATTTGGTTTCCCTGTCTTTTTGTAACATTTTGCAAAAAACCTGTATCTAACCATTCAATTTCAAAGTGCATTTATTTATGAACAATATCTTTTTCGTATTTTTCTTTTGATAACACTTCCAAGTTACGACTTATTTGATTTTATTTTAGATTGTTCGATTTTGCTCAGGACTATAATCGGAAAGAATCAATTTAACAGGATTTTACACGCTTGTAAGCATTGATGTTGAAGAATACATTAAGCACTACTAAATGTCTTGTTTTACGACAAAATATTTTCAGGGAAGGGTTACAGATGATCCTTTTTGATTGATGACAAAAGAGAGTAAAACAAACCAGTTCACATTTGTTTGCACACTCTGCAAGAAAAAACCAAATAATCGGAAAAATTGCAGCTTTTTGGGTCATTTTATTCAAAGTTTTTGTCAGGTTTTGAAAACAGCTCATTCGATCCACTACATAAAGTTTTTAGCAAGTTTTTCTGATTAAACCACATAACCCAGTTATTTTGCAATTCGAAATTTTTATGAATCTTACATCTGAAAGAATGAGCTGAAATTTTACAAATTTTTTACGTCATGTAAGCAACAATTCGAACTTTTATAAAACATTATAAGAATCTTACAAGATTTTGAATTTCGGCATAGATTTCATACTTTTTAGAGCACCCGCAATGACTCTGACCCATTTCTATTTTTTTTAATTCTGTTTTTATTTTAATCTAACTTTCGAATTTGAAAATTTAATAACATACTTACTGCTTTGCGCTCAATTGAAGTTTAGTTAGCTCAACCTTTATCTCCCTGCTGGCGAAACACTTCCTAGATATCCTAGAATAAAACTAGTACCTGGTGGTTGCTCTGAGTTTTATTTTGAATTGTCTTTAGCATCAAAATATAACACAAACGATTACCAAAAAATTTTTAGTTGGATTTTAAATCGACACATTTTTGTAATGTTTCTCTCTTCCTTAATTTTGCAATTCATCAAAACAATCAAGTATAGTAGGTACTACAAAGTTTTGTTTTCTGAAACTTTGTGTAAGTTTTTTCAACATTTAGTAGAAACTCGCGTGCTCCATATTTTTCAAAATTTTAGATGTGTTTTACAGACTGTTTTCATGCTGCTAGTTTGGCTCACTGCTTGTAAACTCTTCTCTCACTGGCAAGCTTGCATGGCGAGAGATTCAGTCTGACACTTTATCAGGAAAAAAAAAATTTTGTGTTTTTTCTAGCAGATGCGTACCTTTTTTGAGCAGCTCGAGAATTTTTTGTGAATTTACGTCATCCAGGTTTGTAGACACTAGCCATTTATAAGCCTTTCTACATCCGAGGTCATTTTTTATAAAGTTCATTTACACAGATTCTTTTTTTTATATACTTCTTGATTCACCGTAGTTATCTTTTTAATTCTTAAACTTTTTTTTCTTATGGGAATTTCAGAAATAAATTTGTTTTCTTGCAATATTCTTTAAAAAATTTTACGAAATAAACGTTTGGTTTAGAAGATTATTTTAAGAACTTTATGAGATTTTGAGTTTTCTTGAGACCCATGAACGAAACGGCTTTCTTCAAACCCCCTTCTCTCTTCTTCTTGCTCCGACCATTTGAAAAAAAAACTTTGCATTCGGGTATATTCAATTTTTCCCAATTTTTTGCATTCCACAAAAAATCAGCTACCCCACTTATTCATCGGAATGGGTCGAGTGAAATCAAATCGAAGCTCTTTCAATCGTGATTTGATGAAACTTAAAACATTTTCAAAAACATTTTGCAGTATTGAGAAAAACTTGGACCTAATATTGGATCTTAAGTTCAATTTTGAGCAAAAAAGAGCTTACAAAAGCTTATTTATGTTTAATTTAAGCCTTGCAATTTAGTTTCACGCAAGAAAAAAATAGACTTACAGATTTTTTGGCGCCATCTTGGCAATCGAAATTTCAAAGCAATTCAAACATTTTGCATTAAAAAAATTGGAAAACCTATAATAATTTGGAAGTTCATCGCTCACGCTATGCTAAAGTTATTAGAAATGTCATTAATAAGTCAAAAAACAGTTCAAAAAGGTTTCATTTTTTCTTCGTAAAATTCTCAAAAAGGCGTTAAAAACGTCCAAATTAAAATTACTCGAGCACAAAAGAGCTGTTTTAAGCGGCTTAACTTAAGCACAAATAAGCCTGCTCATTCGTTTTATTTGCTCAAAGTTAGACCAAAAATCAAAAAAACTCAAACGCGTTTTTTCTCAAAACTGACAAAATATTTCAAAACTTTAAAACGTTCAAACCGCGATTGAAATTTTTTAATACAACAGAACATTCCACCTATTCCGGTTATTTTTGTCTGGTACCTGATTGTGAAAAACAATTAAGTAATTTAAAAAACTAAAAATCTCGAATACACCCTTTTTCTCCGTTTTCAATGGTGGGGTTAATTAGATTGAACCAGTTGCTCTTTAAATGTGGATGACCATATAAAATTTAACTGAACTCTCCTAACTTATCTTGAACTTGTTAATGTCATTGTATCTTGATTGAACCAATAACTCACAAGTTGTTTGATTTTGAACCAGAATGTTTGGGTTGTTGATATCTTTAATTCTCATCCAAATTTCTCAATTAGAAGCAAATGAATCAAAACGCCCTAAGCACGACGGAATTTTGCCGGTTTTAGTTCAACAGGTTAGAGTTTTTATTTACTGTGTTTTATCAATGTTTTTTAAGCCAGACTCTAACTGTCACACTTTGCCTGATACAAATGTTTCGCAAGTCGTTTTCAACGCATTCAAAGTTGGTCAAACCCATGCTGAAAACAAACTATTTTTTTCCGAAATACAACATTTAGTTTAATTAGCGATCCTCAAGCACACACACACACACACACACACACACACACACACACACGTACACACACACACACACACTCACTCTCACATACACACGGGCTTCTTGTATGTGGAGGTCCGTCGATGGAGCCATCACTGGAGTTAGTTTTGGTCCAAAAAACATGCCAAAGTTTTGAATAGATTTTTTGGCCTTCCTGGATCGGTCTAGGAGTCCGAGGCTTTTTTCAAGTTTATATGCAACCCAAGAGCCATGGACTCAGATTTTTGGCAAAAGTGAAAACTTCAAAACATTCCAAAAGCATACAAATCTACACGAATTGCTCTCATTCAGCAGTTGCTACAGAAAACCTCAGAATTACATAGAACTAAGCTCTTCACGTTCCGCATCAACTACCAGTGAACTAGAATAAGAAAAGTCATAAACAAATTAAAACCTAGGCTAATTTCCTGAAAAAAAAACATCTATAAAAATCAAACGACACCTGGTCCAAAACTAAAACTGAACTTTGAGGCTTGAGACCATCAAGCAGACATTACTGCCATCATAATAATGGGAAGCAGACAAATTTGGTAATACTCAGTTCTGACTGTCTGAAAAAAGATACGCAGCTTGTTTTTGATGTATTCATTTAAACCACTGAATACAAAAATGAATTTGAGATAAATAGTTAGTTGAGTAATCCGCGGAGTAATGTGGTATGTTTTTGGAACTAAAATCAGTCGATGAGCAATTTAGTTGCCAATTTGTCTGCTAACATTCCTGCCTTTTTACTATGTTGTCTATTTACTGCTTTGTATACAAGTAAATTTCAAATCACCTAAAAAGCAACGAATGATTTAACGCTACAAAGTTTTCTAGGACTACGAACAATTTTTGATTACTTTTTTCAAACTATGTAGTTTTGTGATAAAACCTATAAAAAAGAATTTGAAAATTGTTTCGAAAAGAAAAAAATATTATTCGGAAGAGTAGGTAAAACTTTTCAATGTCCCACGCTTCACCCCACACACATTTCGCCCCTCTTAAATCTAGTAGCACATTTCGCCCCTCCCACATTTCGCCCCTAAGAATTTCACATATTTCGTCCTCGCACGTTTCGACACAGAAAAATGAACTCCACTGAGAATTAATTCTTGATTTTGATCGGATAAGAGGTGGGTAAATCAATTGAGGGGGCGAGGGGTGTGGATTATAATAACTTTTTGATCTTACCTTTTAAAATTGTTATAAGACGTCTTCAAACCGCATCATTGTTTTTTCAGGTCTGCAGACACGGTGATCGATCTCCTGTCAACTTGTTTCCAAACAACCAACACAGAGATGCCTGGATCCAAGGACCTGGTTAGTAAGTTAAAAAAATGTCTGAAGTCCATAATAAATGGCTTTTTCCAGGTTTTTTCAAAAATACTGTCAACGGATAAGAAGGGAATTTGCAAAAAGAAAGAAAATATGATATAAAAAGTAAAGATTTAAGTTGGATAACTTTTGCTAGTGCACTGTGAGCCTCAAATGAGCATAGCGCCAGATCTTTTGTTTGCTGAGTTAAAAGTTAATATTTTTTGCAGGCAACCGTGTTGACTATTAGACTTCGAGCAAGTTTTTGATTCAGCTTTTTTTCTAAGGTTACCTCACGCCGGAGGGCGAGAAAATGCTTTATGACAACGGGGCAGCTTTCCGAAGCAGTTGGTATCCTGGACTCCTGAGCGAAATTGTCTACCCGAATGAGTCATACGTTGTCAGTTCTCACATTGACAGGTTTTGAATATGTGCAATAGTTTGTTACTTTTACCAAGATGTTTTGTTAATTTCTAACTCTAAAAAAAAACAGATCCTTTTCAGACTGGGAGTTCATAATTATATTTGGGTAGCATCTATTGCATTTGTTTGTTTTTGGACCTTTGTTTATCTATGCACTTGCCCTGAACAGGTCTTCTTAGTTAGGGAGATACCACAAATAATTACTTGACTATAATCAGTGATTAAATTTTTCAAATGTCTTTCAAAAATTAATTGTTCAGGCCCACGTTAATTGTTCATACCTAGTGATAAATACAACGCAACCCCAGTTTTATTTTAACTGATTGAAAGTTTGGATATTTACACAAAAACTGGTAACGAACAATCAAAATATACTTTTTTTTCTACCATCTCATCGTATGTTCACAGGTGCATCATGAGTGCGAACTCCTTCATGGCAGCTCTCTACCCTCCCACGCAACAGTTCCAATTCGAACAGGGACTCAATTGGCAGGCATTTCCCACACACATGATTTCAGCGCAGATTGACTTCGTAAGACTTATGGGAGCTAAAAATATGATTTTTTTTCAAAGACTAATAAGTTCAAAAACATACGAGAGCAAAAACAGAGCATTTTTGATAGACGTGTAGAAAAAAATAGAGGAAAGTTCGATAAATCCGTTAGATAGTTCCATTCTGGGGGGAATGTTTTAAAATATGAGGAGCCATTTTCACTAAGAAAAACAATCAGTATTTGTTTTCGTAATTTACCCAAGAAAATAAGAGTTTTCTTGCTTTTTAAAATCTTCTGGTAAAATTAGGTTTTGCATTTCTCATTTTATAACTTATTTTGGGTCACTTGTTTTGTTTCTCTCAGTACTTGTATGGCACAGACTGTCCCGCTGGGATTGAGGCACGTGAAAGAATCTATACATCCGAGGCATATTTGCAGTTTCTGGGAGACAACCAACTATTCATAAACAACACCTGTCAACTGGCTGGCTACCAGGAGTCAGATTGGACCATCAATTCTCTTTCCACCATCAGTGATAACCTCATTTGCGATGTGAGAAAAAATCCGTTCAAATACCACCTCGCAATTAAAGATCAGAGTTGAAGCTCTAGTCATGGGGTCATCTTCTCTTTAGAATTTTAAACTTTTCAACATTCACAAGGAAACATTCACAAAGGAACCATTACCTAAACTTTTCTGAAGGCGTTGAAGACAACCTGTTTCTAAGACCTTTTTTACAAAGTAAAGAGTCCTGTATCGCCAATGGCGACCTTCAAAGAGAATTTAACTATAGGAAAGAATGGCGTACGGTAAAATGGTACACAAGGTAGAAATGGTACACAAGGTAGAAGAGTATAGAGTAGGATGTCAATGGGTAGATTGCCAAGTAACCATTGGTATGAAACATCACCGATCAAATTTGATTTATTAGTTTAAGTTGACAACTACATAATGATTTTTTCTTAATTATTTTTTTTGAAGCCTTATCTGTTCCTCACAAAAATTGTTGACAAAAAAATTGATTTTTTCCACTCTTGGCAAACTTCTACAACTGCAAATTCTTAAATTCAAAGCCTATTATTATCAACATCTGCTTATTCTACAAGAATGGTAATTGCTACCTAATCTTCAAATAGTTTTGATCAACATTAGTTAACAAAACTGCAATACACATCAATTCATAATTTTTGTTTATTGTAGTCCGCCCATAACTTGTCTTTCCCCGATTGGGCAACTGAGAGTGTAGTGGCAGAGATGACAAACATACTGAATGTGCAGAGACAGTTCCTCTACTCTGACCCCGAAGTGAACTATCTCGACACTGGGGGAGGTGAGAAAAGTGATAATTATGATCAGACTTACAGTCCATTTTACACATTGATAAAAAAAAGGATTCAGTTGTTTCCATATGGTTGATTTAAGAAATGATTAAACTCTAATCAAAGCCCATGTGTGCAATTTTTTATGACAGTTTGTTTCTTTTTTGTATCTTAGGGTCGTATAACAGAGAAGGTGCCTGATTACTTTCCTCAATACTTTCGATCAGCTTTCCATACCTGCAAGAACAATTTCTTTGAACTTTCTGAAGACTCTAGGGGTCTTCAAAAGAAACTTTGAGTTTAAAAAAAGTTCTGTTGAAGCGGCGTAGCGTCTTCAGAAGTTTCAAAAAAAAATACGTTTGGTATGTAATTTTTATTACTGTTTTTTTCAGGTCCAGTCTTGGGTCTAATGGTTGAAAACATTGAGAAGAAAATGAATGGCTCCCTCACTCAGAAATTCATCTACTACTCCGCTGTAGGTTTTAACTTAGTTGTTAGACTAAAATTTCACTGTCAAGTTTCAATTTTACCTTCAGATTTTTAAATTCAATGCAAGAAAATTCGAACTTATTAAAATTTTGGTCAGATAAAATCTTAAACTATAGATAGATCATCATGAGTAATATATGGGTTTTCCAGCACTTCCAGCAGCATCACTCTGATAATCACTGCATACAAAAAAAACTTCAGTTTTTAAGGTCGGGGATATGTCAACTTTGCGAGCTTCATTGGAAATCAAAATCTTAAAAATAGTCAAGTCTGCTTAACTCTTATTCAAAAAGTTCATGCCTTGCACTTCGATTTACGTACTTTTTACTGCTCGGAGATTTTGCATTCCTAAAAAGTTTTTAGAGTTTGATATTTTTTCATTTTTGGATCATTCAAAGTAACCTGTCGTAAACCTTTATCAGTTTTCAAGGACGTCAAATGTAAATTCAATGTCAAAATGCATGTATGCACACCCTCTTCAACATTTGAACTAAAAACCAAACGATGGTACAAACTTTGATTGATGGAGAAGAGTGTTATCGACATCATTAGATGTGTTTATTTGGTAAAGCGTGATATTTCATCGGTTGCTTTATCTGGCCTGATTCCAGAGTGATCAATCAAACTAAATTTAGTTGTTCAAACTGATGCAGTTGATGAGTGAACATGAGGCTATATGGTTTTGGTTGTATGCCAAATGTCTCCACAAGATAAGCTGAAAGAGAACCTGAAAAGACTGTTAAAAGTTTTCTTAATAGCCAGCCCAGCCAAGCCAGCCTTCCAACCAAAAATATACTGAGTTTTGAAGTTTCAGTTTTATAAGTACTTAGTTTGGGCTATAATGGTGAAGAAAACTAAAGTCACCATTCTCGCAGATATAGAACTTTGTCGATTTCTCAAATTCATATATTTTTAAAATGAATGAGACGGCCTGAAAGAAAGTTTCATATCACAAAAATTTGTGTTAATAAACTTATCTCAATTAGGAATGAACTGATCTTCTCTTAATTTTTTATACCGACCTTCCCTGAAATTTTTTTTTTATTTCTTGCAAATTCAATAAAAAGATCCTCATCGGCTCAAAAACTACTCGATCATTAAAAAGGTAAAGTACGAAATTATCGCGTGTGATCATAAGTATGAGTTTTGGGCTTTCTGAACCGAAGAGACCCAATTTATAGGTATCTTAAGAACTTAAAACTAGTATCTCTAACTGTGTAGTTTTCACTTTAGCATGACACTACTGTGCTTCCATTTTTGGGCATCATGGAACAGGATGTGGGACCCAATCCTCCCTACAGCTCATGTGGTGTGTTGGAATTGTATCAAAGCAACGACAACGAGTAAGTTCATTACTGTCATTATTTTGTTAGAATTATTGATAATTTATATATAACGACAATCAATAACTATGTAGCGATTCAACGTGAAGATATGAAAATATGGTTTTCATTGGTCATTTCATTGTGCATGTTATGTAATTAATAACTTGTTAAGGTTTTGGTCGCACTTTGTTCAAGTTATACCCTTCTAGCTAGACGAGAATTTTTAATTTTAAGCAAACTTTTATGTTTGACCTCTTATTGTCGGAAATTAGTAAACATTTGATAGTTGTTCACTTTCAAAATTTGTTTGATACTTGGATTTCTCTGTTTGATACTTACTATTTTAGTTCTAAATTGCCCGTTCGGAATACACTCTGAGATTTGACGAAAATAATCAAAAGCTAGATGCCTAAACTGTGATGTTTAAAAACCGGTGACTGGACAAAGCATCCCATACGAAACTATCCCATTACAAAATATCCCATACCAATTTAGCCCAATGGACACAATAGCCCATACCAAAATAGCCCACGTCAACTAAAAGTTCCCATAGAGAATTAAAACCTAATTTATGATATAGAGTATTAAAGATTGGTGCATATATCTATATCGCAATTAAGAATATACTCAAATCAACTGCCTCAGTTGATTCGAGACGCCCTATAGAGATAGTTCTAATGGTAAAAGACTCTTTTCTAGGGATTAAAAGTTATCTTTCAAATTGAGAAAAATTTGATAATGAAACACATCGCAAAGATATATCACTACCCACCTAGCCTCAATACAAGGAACACCAAAAAGACAGATTTTATCTACGACGAAACTCAAAAAGTCAAAGCGTTGCTTATCTTGGACGGACACGAGTCCACTAAAAAGCGAGACCTCAAATTTACCACTCACTGGCGTTGTGCAAAATGGCGTTTCACATAAATGCCCAATGACTCTTATAACTTGCGACGAAGCCATTATTTCGTTTAATCACGAGCACAGTCATGAGTTTAACCCCGGTCGCGTAGATGCAAGGCAGCTAGTTAGTCAGTTGAAAGAAAAAGCAAAATCACAAATCAATACTGTAAACAACCAGTTGATAGCAGCTAGCCTCAAGACTGTGAACAATAATCTTTCACTTCCTTCATGTGCCGCCCTGGCAAAAACCCTCAATAGAAACAAAACGCAAGAACCACTCGGAGTGATTTCATCGACCGACCGTCACTTCGACATTCCCGACAAACATTTACCTTTGTCGGGAAATTTTCCCGAAAAACAATTACCAAAAATGATAGCGGAAAAGGAGACAGAGAGCGATTTCTTATTCTTCTCGACATGGAAAGCTTAAATTATCTTCGCGCTCATGGCAAAGTTTTGCTTTGTCTTGGAACTTTCAAGTTATGTCCGTCTCAGTTTTTATCAATTGTACACAGTACATATCCAGGTTGGGGCTTTTTTTCCCTCTGCTTTTATGTTTTGCTCACAACAAAAGGAGTTCACTTACAACAGATTCCTTGAAACCCTGATTAGTCTTATTGGAGACTTCGTACCCAAAAAAAATCTCATTGACTTCGAACGAGCAGCCTTGAATACATTTTCTTATCTTTATGAAACTGAAATCGAAGCTGGCTTTTTTGACTTATACCAAAGCTTCCATCACAAGTTTTCAGAACTAGGTGTGAAAAAAGAACATATGAAAGCAATGCTCAACCAGCCTTTACCTCGAAAATGATCTCAGCTTTAAGCTTCGTTCATCTCCCAGATATCAAATCTGCGTTTGTTCTTATCATAGACAAAATTTGCTAAAACTGCCGATCAGTTCAACATTCCAACTGATATCCTCGAGAAAATTGGCGAGCACGCATCGTTTTTCCAGAAAACTGATATTAAAGAAGAGAAACGATTTGTCGACAACAGCGTGATCCTTTGTTCCCCTAGCTCTATGGAAACACTACGACAGCGCGGTGGCTGGTCTCATTCGAACAACGTACGCAGTTGAAGGCTGGCATAATGGCGCTTTTCCAGGGCAGCCACTCCTCGTTTCATACGTTTTTTATAGAAAAATTATCTGGTTTCTGACCAGCAGAAGTTCAAAATTTTGAAAGCAACCAGTGGTACCACAAATCAAACCCGTAAAATGTTCCGAGGACTCAATGAAAAAACCGAATATTAATTAAATCCTACGAAAACTCAGATATTGTAAATTACGTTCAAGCTCTGGCTCAATTAACACTCTCCTAGATTTCATTTTGTCAAATTGTTGGCATACTTTTCTCAAGTTGTCGGCTTTTTGACGCCCTTTTAGTTGATTTTTTAAAAATCATAAAGTTTTTGCTTCGTAGTCAATGTAGAGGTACCATCTCTTGGGAGGTCACAGAGCCCAAAACAACAATTATTTCGTATTTTCCCTCAACCCGCCTCTCATACCCGTTACCCAGTACAGGCGAGATTCAGAAGTTTTGGGGACAATTTTTATCGATTTCGAACTATAACTTTTGATCCATCGTGAACTGATCGATTGATTTTTTCACCAAGGAAGCAGTAATAACATGAAAAAAGCTTTAAAAAAATACAAATGATAAAAAGTTAAGCTGTTTTGTCAAAATCATCTGCCCACACTACATATAAAGTAGAAAGTCATAGAATTCGCTCAAAGTAACGAATCAATTATAGCAAATAAGGTTCCTTTGGCCAATTTGGAACAAGTCCTTTGGCCAATTTCGAACGAGCTCGAAACATGGTAATCTGGTAAACATGGTAAGCATGGCCAAAGGGGTAACCTTGAAACCACCACAATTTATCCAAAAATCATCAGAGGTACAAAATTTTTTCATATTTAGGCTCAAGACAAAAGTACTTTTTGAGTGATACTACAAAAAACTCCGTCAAAAATGGCCAGTTCATTTTGTTTGAAGAAAAAAAATTTCCCCGAGCACGAATATTCCGTCAATGTATTTGAAAAGTTCGAATGTTTCTGTTGGCAATAATAAGAACAAAATCTTGATTTTTTCGGAAAATGGCTTGAGTATATTGAAATTAACAGTCCAAGTGATTGATCTCTGCCAAAAAATATTTCACGGCAGCAATGAATACGACCTTTTAATCGGAAATAAAATAACGTGGCTCAAAATTTTTCAGTGAAAACTTTGACAATTTTTGTCAATTTTTTCCAACAAATTTTGGCAAGTTTCCTCATTTTTTTTCGGATATTAGAGCCCGAAGTGGTGAAAGTTTGCTTTCTTACACTACACTGGAAATTATGTATATTTGACGAAACGGTTTTAGTGCAGTCTTGAAAATTCCGTCTCACAAAAGTTTTTGGCTTTTTTTTGCAAAATTTCTAGGTCTTTCAGCGAACAAAAAATCACCAATCCAACATCTTGATTGAATACAAAAATCTTAATCGTCGCTCGTCTTAATCCACAAACCATCTAATTTTACGTCCTGAAAAAATCGCGTTGCAAATTTGGATATGCTGCTTGAGTTTTGCATAGTCTTTATAAGTATAAATTTCTCAATAAATCTTCCGGAACAATTAGAGTTGACATGGCGATAATGACAACCAAATTTTTTTTTGCTAATTTTTAAAAATCTATAACCTTCATTGGTAGTAAGATTTTGCCAAGCTCCTTTTTTCGAGTGAACTATTTTGAATTTTTGCTTTTTTTGCAACCGAAGTTTAACTGTTGTCTGCAAACAGTTTTAATCACTTCAATTACGTAGATTTTTACATTTGAAGAATTGAACAAATAATTAAGCAAAAGAGAAAATTTTTTATTTTTTTGTGAACTCTTACATGTTAGTTATTCCTAATTCCTACTACCCGCACTGGAGTTTCATGGGAAATAATCGATTATAATGGATTCTATCGGCGGAAAACTTAATCATATATAATTGATTTTTATGCCCCATCCAACCGTGAAAATGGATTTTCAGGGGATTATAACTTTTTTTTTAAAATCCATAATAATTGAGTAATATGACAAAATAACTAATTTTTTTGGCCCACAAAAAACCATGAGAATAGATTTTTTTTATGCAGAAAAAAGCTAGCAACTAAATAAAATCTTGTAGCATTTGGGATGAGAAATTGGCACAATTACATCAAAACGACAACAAATTAGTGAGAAATTAACGTTCTGCAAGCTTAAAACCCAAACAAACATGTTCATCCTTTAAAAAAACTTTAAGCAAATGTCCAACACCCC